TGGACTTTTCCTACACAGGTTGGGTGTGTCCAGACTAGCAGGAACGTGTTTCCCCAGGGGCAAGAAGCAACGGCATTTTGTGCCACTGCTACTTCCCCCAGGGAACACCCTGGCGTGTGGCAGGTTACCCCAGGTGGGACAGGGGAAGCCGGGGCCAGCAACTGTGCTGGCTCCAGCAGCCTTACCTGGGGTCCTGGGGCCTCCAGCCATGGCAGGAAGCCTGCTCGCAGCCAGAAGGGCTCCAGCCAGCCAGGCTCGTTTTGGGCAGCGCACGCTGCTGCCATTTGCACCTTCCTGCTTTTGTTTGGCATAGGTTTTTTTGACCCCAGGATCTTGCCCCAGGTCTGCGGTGACAGATACTACACGCCCATGTTCATCTGAACGTGCTTGTTAGGGTTGGTTGCTAAGAGTTCCTGAGAATACTTTGTGCCAGTGGGTGCACACAAAGTTGATACTGTTTTTTCTTCATCCCAATAGTAAAGCCTATAAAAGGAATTTAAAATGCTATCAAAGTAATATTGATCTGGCAGCTGTGTCCACTCCTTTCTGCCCAGAAGTGTATCATGCTCCTTGAGCCTAGTTCATTGTGCAATAAAATATTAATCGTAGGCAATCAGAGGTGCAAGGAAAGTGCCAGAAGATTGCTACTTGCCAGAAGTCTGGTTCAATGATAATGTTGCCAAAACACGCCAAGGAATTGCTTACTTCATAATCTGAGGCTGCTAGACCTTGTTAGGGGAAGGGCTGGGGAAGACAGCAGTGGTTACGGTTTGTGGACGTGTTTCTGTGAAGAGTAAGTGCAGCAGTGTTTTGAATGAAGCAAAATGTCAGTGGATTTTTAACTTTGCAAATGGCTTCCACATATGGAGCACCCAACCAAGAACTGAGCCTGTTTGTACTTAAAGCAGGAAACTTGGAGGGTCAAGGCCTAAGGCAATGCCCAACTGTGACCAGAATTAGTTTAATGCATTTCCATAGAATAAATTAGAAAGAAAATTGGCAAACATCAAGAATAAACCTAACCGTGTGCTCTATTAGGTAGCTGAATAGGCTAAGAGGAGAACTGGGGGGATGCCAAGCTCTTGAGAGAGATTAAAGTAGAGTGGAAAAGGCAGTAAAAAATATACACCTAGGAAACAACCTGTGCTGACAGACATAGGAATTAACTGACATTACAGTTAGCTTTCATGTCTAAATCTTATCAGAGACACCATTGATCACTCTGTGAAACATAAAGGAACGTCATGAGCATAAAGTAGCGCACTCCAAACACATGACAGACAGGCAACAGGTCTGTCTTTTCATCTCCGTGCGCTTTCAATATCTAATCCATGGTGGTAGGATATTCTGTGTGCTTCCACTGCAGCTGAGCTAAAGATTATGAACAAGTATTTTTTATATTAAATTCCAGGAGGCAGCATGTAAAAACATTTTTCTAAAGGAAGTGAATCTCCAGCCCATTTTATCTCCATTTTATTTTCACTTTTTTATGTAAAAAAAAGTCTGACATAGTTACATCAACCAAAATAAGCTGCAGTGTATTCTTACAAAATCATATAAGGATTTAAAATATATTGCTTTGCTGTTTTCCATAGCAATTTTAGTTTGCTTTCTTTGTTAAATATCTCCAACTCCAAACTGCTGAGCTTGAAATTCTTCAAAGTCCTCTGGGATGGTGTCTGAAACCAGAAATTACACAAAAGATTTAGTTTCTTTCCAATGCAACTTATGAGAATTTAAAAATAGAGTTGGGCCAATAGTTTGGAATTAAGTTTTTGGATAGAAACTTCTGCCATCTCTTCAGTTCACAGATTGCTCATGATAGTTCTAAAATGTATTTCTAGTTTACTGAATCTTTTCTGTGAATCATTTTTGGCCAGTACATCATTTAGGGACTAGCAGTACTTGTCTTGGAATCCAGTTCCACTGTACAGAATTACAACAAACAGCCGAGATTTAGTGCACAACCTACTGCAGGACAAAGTGTGAATATTAAAGCTGAATATATAACTCAGAAGCTGAAGGTACTTATGCTAACTGAGTTTGAGTATTCTAATACTTGCTGCAAATGAACACACAAGGGCTCAGTGTCAATCAGAAGGAAAAAAGATTTGCATTCAAATTCAACTGTAGCTGCAACTAAGACTTTTTTCTATTGTGTGGTCAGCACTCTCTTTCGAATGCCATGAAGTAGTGCTGGAATACACCCATATTCTACTTTTAAATGCCATCTATACACAGCCAATGAGAGAGTTACCAGCAACAGAAAAGGCCATAGTCAAAAGCCTGCTCTTAAAACATCATCAACTCAAAAATCACAATTTATCTGAAAAACTTCATACCTTTAGCCCTTACAAACACAACTTCATGATCAATAGAAATGGGGAAAATATTGCCCAGTACCCATCCTCCCTCCCATTTTGTTTTGTGCCTTTGACAGAACTTTGCCTATTCAGCTTCAGTGTTTCACTCCACGGTCAGTCAGCTTCCTCCGTTTGTGTGAGCTTTTCACACAGCAACAGGGGGATGGGAAAAGCATTAGAATAGCAATGCTCACATCTGGTAGAAATACTGCCACATTTGCAGAGAAACTGAGGGCCGGTCAGCCTCACCAGATTGATTGCAGATTATTTTGCTGAAAACTGACCAGGTTCATGTTACCATTTCCCTTCGCACCCTTGTGCCAACACCCACAACATGGCATTCAAAGACTCAGAGGTACACACGCAGGTGCTGACGACTCTCCGACACATTTAGAAAAGTGGCTGAAAATAGATTCGTGAGCATGTCAGAGGTGGAGTTTCTTGATCTAAAGCTGACATGAATTCCAGACTCACCCAGCCCCAAGCATTAAAAAAAAAAAAAAATCAGGGAATTAAAAATAAATATTAGGTCCTTTTTATATGATTGCTGGACTGTATTTTTCTGTACCTTTGCAGACACGTTTTTCAAACATGTTTTCTGCAATGATGAGAGGTAGAATCTGCTTTTCAAATGAAAGCTGAGGCACTCGTAAAATCATTTGACTACAATACTTGGGGCTTTATAAAAGAAACTTCAAACATGACACTTGCTTTAAAGCTGTGAGAACTGGCAGTACCGCTGCTTGCTCAGCTCTGTGAAGGGAACAAAAACGAACGTACTGCTTAGAACACGTTACTTTTAGCTATGGAAAAGTCAGTGATTTAACTGAGGAAACAGGTTCTTGCAGAGCGGCTTTAAAATTAGCTTTCTTTTAAAAAAGTCCTGAATTTTGAGGGATTAATGCTTTGGGAAAAATACAATTTCTATTTACAGGTAAGCACTCCTGCTACTTCATGGAAATGCCAGTTACCATCTCAACTTCCCTCTCCCCCACTGCTGCTCCTGCTGTATTTTGTTTGAGCAATGACTGTTTCCTTGAGTTCCAGTATTTTTGGGAACAGCAATTTATTTGCAGTTACTCAAGCTGCAGAACCACAGAACAAAAACTTGGCCCTGCTTTACGCTGTCAAAGCAGAACATGCTTATTAAATGGTTAAAATTTCTCCTTGGTGCTAGTGCTGTGCTGGTGATGTAGACTTAGATTTCTTGGTTCTACAAAGTGCAAATTACTGATTGAGTCAGAGCTGTGTTTGCTAATAGGGCTTGCTTTAATACCAGAAAAGACCTCAAAAGACACTAAAAGCTGGATTGCAGGTGCCTTAATTGTACAGAAACAGATCCTGGGAGAAGGGAAAAAGCTTCTGACCCATCTGGATGTGGCTGATCTACTAACACAACAGGAACTGCCTTGCCTCCTGTCCTGTGAGCAGCTTATTCATCATAACATAAATGACAGAAGAAAGAATGCCTTTCTTATCTCAAAGGAAAGCCCACCTCTGTACATGAGACGTGAAGACAAGGTGATGAGAGCAGTTTAGGACTCTGTTTTCATTGCTGCTACTACAAGGTCCATACTCTAGAATCACTGTCTTAAAATCCATTCAGAAGTTTTCTTTTAAAAAAAAGAACAACAAACCAAAATCCTCTCTGGCTCATTGTAGCCTGGGCTTAGATACGAGGCGGCCTTCCAGAATTAGAGGGCTGAAACATTTAATTTCAGTCTGGATATTAGAATGTGCTGTTGTGCAAGGCCTCAAGAGGAGGAAATTCACAGGAACAGCAGGTGCTCTACAGAACAGGACGAGAAACTGATCCAACCAGTAGCAGCCTGGGATTGGCTAAAATTACATGCTTTGGATTTACAGGTGTGCATGGTGCATGTAATATACTGAGGACAACTCCTCTTGTTGCACAGATAGCTTTGCTTTGTTCCTTTGGAGATTTAAGGCAGGTACAGAAATTACACTTTTACCAGCATAAGTGACTGGAAACAGGTCTATACCTGTAACAGAACAGAAGTTCAGCACACAACGCCAGTCTATACCCATAAGAGTCTGTGCTCAGCACACAGACTGGTTTAAAAATAGCGGAACCCAGTCTAAGATTTGCTCCTCCCATCCCCCCACCAAAGGGTGAACGTGTGTTTTGTTTGCTACCAACACAAGCTACACTGCCTACCGAAAATCACATAACTTAGATCAATTCTGCCTTAGGCTTTCTGAATGTCTGTACCTAGCCTCAGGCTAAAAAACAGACAAGTGGTTTAATCCAGGCTGATTTTTCTGGGTTTTGACTTGCATTTAAACAGGCAGGGACAGCTGTTTACACATGCAGCTGAAAGGCAATTAAATCAGCCATGATTGTCCTTGGGCAAAAAATCTTAATTTAGATACTTATAGTGGGACAATGAGCTTGTATGCGTGTAGGATCCTATGATAAAATGATTTTCTGCTTTTAGCCTTAGTAATATTTTTGAATCCCAACCTAAATGCAACTACTGTGTTTAGCAGACATGTTTTGCAATGACATGGCAGTGCTGTGAGATTATGTGGATGTTCATATGAGGGTTAGCTGAGCTGCTACTTCAACCCTTGCCCAGATTAGACTCACACTGAACTAGATGATGTCAGGCAAGGCATTTCACAGATAGGGTTCATTGCTGGTAAAAAGAAAAGATGAAAGGCAGATAATAAAATGGTCTAAACTGTTGATCCTTTAGAACAGCAGGTCAGGTGATGATCACAAGCTAAGAGGAATGTTACCATTGCAGCGATACTTCAGGTTGGACCAAATGATGTTTTCCTGAGAGAAGCAGAAAACGCCGAGTCTCCCTCCACGCATAGTGGTGTCAATCGTTACGCCAGAATCTGCTACTAGTTCAGAACCTTCATAAAACCTTGTCCTTCAAAATCAAGCAAACATATCAGATTTACCCAAAGAACCCTGTCTGCCCATGTCTCTAAACCAACATGGCTACAACCTATACCCAGCATCCCTATTCCACCAGAGCTTCACATAGTTTTTTAATAAAATTTACTGAAATGACTTCACATTCTAAATGATGTTCTTCAAATACAAGGATTAATATATGTATATTTATCTGTATTTCTACTCATGAAAATAAAATCTGTCTATATTTAGTACGTTGAGAACATACAAAATATGCATTCAGGATGAGAGATACACATAGGAAAGTATGGCTGGAAGGGACTTCATGAGGTTATCTGGTCCAACCTCCTGCTCAAGGCAGGATCATCCCTGACTAAACCATCCCAGTCAAGTGTCTGTCTAACCTGCTTTTGAAAGCTTCCAGGGATGGAGATTCCACAATTTCTAGGGAGCTTGTCCCAATGCCTCACCACCCTCATGGTCAGAAAGTTCCTCTTAATCTCCAGTGTAAATTTCCTCTGCTGCAGATTGAGGCCATTGCTCCTAGTCCTGTCCCCTAAAACCATAGAGAAACTTAACAGAGCACTTGCTGCCCCCTTCTTCCCTGAAAAATCTTGTGTGCGAGAGAAAGAGAGAGAGAGAGAGAGAGAGAGACCGTCTCATGAATACTCCCAACACACCCACTAATTCATGGGTGTCCTTGGGTCAACTGTACTAGTTTATCTGGGAAAAGTAATAATAGGTAAATATTTATGAATTTTAGCTGTACTTTGTGCTACTATAAATACTTGTGCTTTTTGCGAAGTGGCAATCATGGTTTCTGCTTTTACTCTTTATCTGCCTCTTTCATCTGGTGCTTTCCTTTTAACTGAAGGAGGAGTACCAGCACCCACTAGCCATTCAGTTCTCCCACAGACCACAACTAAGTGTTCTCACATTGTGGTCTGCAGAACGTCTGTGTAACAGGCTCTGAAGAATTGGTTTCGTCTAGTTCTCTTTTTATAGATCACTAACAGAAACACATAAATCACAGACTACCTCTGTCCCACATACTGTGTGTTTTAATGCCCATCTTGATTCAACCTTATGGCAAGTAGTTTGGTCTGTGGCATCATATCGGCATAACTTGGGTATGGTTGCCCTGTGTTCAGCAAGGCAGGGGAGAGCCAACTTTAGTCTAAATTAAGCTACTCTATAACATCTCACTACTAACTCCTATACTGATGGGACACAGACTGTATTTTACTCTCTCTGTAAGGCTGCAAAAGCTCTGTAGTTATTACTTTGTCTAATTTAGGCTATTTGAAAAACAGTGTAAATATGGGCATACTCTGATGCACAGTGCAGCTCCACAATTTTTAAACTATGCTTTCAGATCTTGTTGCCATTGAAGCCAAAGGTAAAACTCCCAGTGTTTGAATAGCGCAGGACCAAATAATTAATGAAGGATGGCAATTTTCCCTTGAAAATCAGTTACAATTTTTATCTTCGCTTTTTTTAATGTTTAAAAATTTTGAATGGCCTGTTTTTTCTTTCCTGGGATGTTTGCTCAAATCTCTCTGCCATGGGCCTCGGCTTATACTTATAAATTCAGACCTACTACAGAGAACATTAGGGTTGGAAGAGGTTAATAGTAGAGAGCAATTTGCAAAGGATCCTGGCTGAGTGAATCATACTCTTAGAGCAGGGACACCTTCTCTTCTGCTTGTTAATACTTAGAAGTGACTCCAGTAATGGATTCTCCACTTCATAGCTTGGTATACAGAGTGTGAATCCACTGTCCTGAGTCCCTCCAATTTTGTCCCTGGCAATCTGCAACCTTCAAAAAGGAGAAGTGGCATTCCTATGATAACACACACTCATATGTTATGCAATATGTTCTTTATCGTGTCATACTAATTACTGATTTTGTTCTGGTTTACCAGCCTGTTGCTTTTCATGTAGCCACCTTTGGTTGATGAGTTGTTACTAGTTGTGCAGGGTATAGATAACTTACTACAGTTTAAGGACATATATTTCAAAGGGTCATGATTAAGAAATATTCATATAGTATCCCAATTAGTTTGGAACAATGTAGTTGTAGATGTATTTTCAGTTGTATTTTGAAAAGGGATCTTTTAAAGTTATCTTAAAAATGTAAGACAGCTGTGATGTAATTTAGCAGATACAGAGGTCAAAGGACATTTAAAAATATTTCTAAATTGCTAGGCTATAGAGAGGGTTTTTTTTTTCTCCTCTTAACATAAGATTGCATACAGAATTTTGTAAATTTAAAACTTCACAGCTTTTTATCTCCACAAACTTTAAACAATGCCCAAGATATTACGCATTCACAGGCTCCATCACTACCTAAAGTAAGTGCTAGAAAACAGGATATGTAAGATTGTAAACCAAATTCATCACAGCTAGCTTTCATTTGTACCTGATATATCCCATCTGAGGTCTATGCTGCAAGAACCAGCGATAGGAGACTTTATCTTTCCACCCTACATTTCTGGGGTCTTTCCACAGCAGTTTGACTTGGTCAGTGGTGTCTCCTGTATGCCAGAGTGAGTTCCTGAGGTGTTCTCCTGGGCCAGTCTTTGATTTCACAGCCTAAACCAACAGAGTGTTTACAGAAAGTGAACAGAGAGGCGTTCCCATTTTAAGCTGTAGATGAAGAACTTGAAACGGTTTCATAGTGTGCAGCACATCTTAGAACACTTATCATGTGGATCCTGCCCTCCCAGTACTGAACTCATAACATCCCCATGCCAATTAAAACAACTGCTTACTTGGACACCTTCCAAGCTGCTTCCCCATTTAGCCGGTGGGAACAAGGAGAAGCCAAAATTATGTGCTCACCTGGATCTTAACAGACCACTGTTGGGAGTGCTCTGCTTCTGACACATACACGGCCTATCTTTGAAATATTCAAGTAGCTAGTTTGAATGAAATCTGCCTATGTTCTCTCTTTTCCTTAAGTTGCATTTTAACTCCTATCGATTAAAGCTGCTTCAGTCTTTCATAATGAGCACTCAAATTTTTGTCAATGCAAGTTACCCCTAGGTTCCTCAAATATTCATTAGGGTGAGTCACATATTTAAGGCAACACTTTCACATTAAACTACTCTTTCTCTAGGAAGAAGCCCTAGCTAGCAAGTTAGTCCCCAGCAAGGGCAGAAAATAGTTTAGTCTATTAAAAATGGACTCGTCATATGCTTCATTTAGTTGTCCCAAAGGAAATGGCAAAATCTGAAGATATAATGATGGTGCGCTTAGACTAGTACCTTAAGCTGAATGCCAGGTTCCGCAACAGCTCTGAACGGAGCTGCTTGCCAGTAGGTCTGCTCTGTTTGCTTCCACATGACTACATAAAAGCTGGAACTGTCTTGATAACCGAAGATAAAACCAGCATAATCATCATCTGTCACCGTGTTGACATGGAAGGTGCCTTCGAAGTCAACGCCATTAAAAGCGGTGTAACCTAGGATCAATGTATATACATGACAAGTTAAAACCAAGAGTTGGCAGAAAACTTAAATATTTGCCAAAGGGTTTCGTCTCAAAATGGGACTGCAGAAAATGGATACGCACCAACTGCCAAGCCAGGATCACTGTTCATGGTCTGCACAATTTCCATACCCTGGGGAGGGAGAATTCAGTCAGTTAGTGAATGGCCCATGTGTGCAGGGGCTCTGCCTATTGGGTAGCTCTGGTGGACCCCTCTTGCTTTGGAAACTAAGAATCCTCCTGTTCATTTCCTTCTTTTATAGGCCAGAGGCAGGCCAGGAGGAGCCTGCATTGTCCTGAACAGGCTCCTAATACTTGCAGCTCTGCATGAAGAAAACCACTGTCATCAAATCTCATGCTTCAGGGCTTCAGCTGGTGGCCTCACTAGGGCACAAAAGACCTTTCTTTCCACAATGCACAACTGGTAGTTGGATTCTGCTTTTTTTTCTGAAGCCTCAAAAATTGGCCTCAGCTGGAAAATGAAATGGTGCTATGAAATGATACAGAAAACGTGCTTGTCTAGAAGTTGGTGGGGCTTTTACTTTCTCTGCACCATGGAGCAGGATTCACCTACAGGACCACTTGGGCACATCCAATCTATCCCATTCCCTACCACTGGACAGGCCTTAGGCATTAATGACAACTTGGGATCATGTCCTGTTTCACCATCGCATGCCCAAGTGGCACTTATGCAGCCCTCCTCTTCCCTTGTTTTACTTCTGACAGGTATGTGCATAGGGCAATCCTGTCCTGCAGCATTTGGGCACAGAATCCAAACTCTGTTCAAGGGCATAAAATTGCAGTTATGTGACTACCCAAGTGCCACTTCCATAAATAAAGGTAAACTGGATTTAGCCCCCGTCTCTCCCATTCTCTGCCCCGGTACACAACAGTTTAAATTCATTGGGCTTAATAAAGAGGGACTCGCGGAAATTTAATGCCCAGTGGATGCCTGCCTTGGCCATCTGAAGTGATGGAGCTTCAGCTTAGCTGCAGAAGTGTGGCTAAAGCTGACAGCTGAAGTCTGTTCCTGAATGATCAAAAATTGACCTTTTGTTACAGATGTTGCAACTGGCATGTGCAAAATTTGAAGAAAGCAATTAACATGCTGAGTTAAGCTAATAGTGAGATAAAATTAAGCAGAGCAACAGGTCTGGCAGGAAAGCCTTGAGGTAAATAATGCACAGTTTATTGTAGTCCAAGCTAAGAATACTACTAGTAGTGACTGATGTAACCAAACGTATCAGATGTAGTTGTTCTAGAAGAAAGAGAGGGTTTTGTTTTCTAGTGATTTGTTTCTGTCAGCTAAGAGGTTTTGAATGTGCTTTTACCTGGTTTAGAACCACCCAGTTAGGATCGATCTGAGCATCACCTTCAGGATCCAGCACCACTGTCTGATAAGCCCTGAAATCCGTGAGGGTGATCTCTGCATTCTCTGGGCAAACATCAATCGGATCAATTACTGTGTCCTGATCAAAATCAGACTCACAGATATCACCAACACCATCAGCTGGGTGAATCAGAGAAACAAAAGAGGACAATTTACAATTCAGCAACTACCACATTAGACATTATCACTGGATTAAACATATGACCAAAGCAAATTATAGATTTTCCATCTTTAGATGTCCTCAAATCAAGACTGGAAGTTGCTTTGGAAGAAGTGCTCTAGTAAACTGCAAATTATAAGATTGTATACAGGGATAATGTTGAAATAACCTGTTTTACCAGGTCAGACTGGATATCTAATGATCTTTTAAAATCCAGGAGCTGGTGCCTGCAAAATAGCAACCTATAAAAAGTACTTCCAATTTACAGCAAACTTTCCAGGTGGAACAGGTGTTTTCAGTAAGGATTGATACATATACTAGTACCTGACCTCTTATGCAGCACAGCCAAAAGATAAGGCAGAACTCACAAGGCCTTAAGTTAATACCACAGAACTGCACAAAAACAAACTCTGCCACGACTTCCAAGACCAGATTTCACAGCAAAGTTATCAAATGCCTAAGATTTAAAAAGGTACATGATTGTTTTCGGGCTCACTATAAAACTCCCAATAACATTAAATCAGTGGAATAACTATGTCCCACTAAATATATCCAAAGATGCTTTATTTTTGCTTTGTAAATTGTTTTTTCACCTGCTTGTTTGCAAGATTCAGTAGCAAAGTGTCTGTCAAGCACAAATGTGAATCAGAGACGTTTCACTGTCTCGGTTTATTTTCAGCATCGTTTTGCACCATTCTCTGAGCTACTGAAAAACTGAAACATTTTATGGCCTATTTTACAAGTTAGTGGGCATGTCTACATGTGAGCTTTAATGCACAGTAGACTATTTTACTGAGCGGTAAAGCATCGCCTAAAAAAAAGTTACATTATTCTAAGGTGCAGTAAAATAATTTACTATGCATTGTTACTAAAAAAGCATGCAAATGCAGTACTGCACATTAGCACAGCCTAACGTGCATTAATTTAGTACCTAACATGCATTAATTTAGTACCTTACATTGGAGGGCACTTTTACACTTGCTCCAAGGGTGGGGGGGGCAGTGCGTTAATCAGAGGCTCTGAGAGCTGCTCTAATTAAAGCACTACCATGTCTTGTGTATCAGCTCCTTGACCTTAAAATGGTACGGGAGCACTTGAACTAAAGGATCATTTGACAGGCTTTAGTTCAAGCACTCCTGCCTCCATTTTTAAGCATGGAGATGCTAATACACAAGACACAGGAGGCTGCTGAAGCATGGCAATTACCATGCTCCAGCAGACACTATTAATTGTGTAGCAGAAAGCTCCCTTTGTACATTTCCCTTCTGGACATGGATATAACAGAAGCCCCTTCTTGCCTGCACCCCACACATTTTGTGCATTTCTTTTCCTTCTAAGTATTGGCAGAGACCTAGCACACTCATTGCATGGCTGTGGCAAGGCTCAGAACAAGCCAGAAAGCCTAAGTGGCTTTCTGTAGGAGAAACCTAACTACATCTACAAATCAATTAAGCTCAGTGTCACTAAAGAAAACAAAAGAACTAAAATAGCCACTGCAAAGACTGTAAATATATCCTGTGCTAACCTAACTCACTTACTGTCCCCAGTAGCCTTTGACCCTCACTACCTCACATTGCATTTTTATATATTTCTCACAGTGTGTTTTTATATTTCACCTGTCTTGTCTTTACCATGGCATTTTGTATTTTATATGTTATACTTTTAAACCCTTAAGGAATGTACTCCCTGTAGAATAAAGTTACCCTGGACCACTGTTAAAACCACATTGAAACTGTAACTGTAAAGTGATAAAATCTGTTATATTGGGTGGTCCCTTGTATGAATGCGAGTGAATGATGATCATCAGTAGACAATAGCCTAGCCAAAGGAACTCCATTTTAAGCTAGTCAAGCTAAAGAACTCATTCCTGGAACTGAGCACTCACCCTAGGACTATTCCTGTAACCCATGACAATAGAGCCATTAAGTCAATAAGTCAAGGGTGGACTCCCGAAACTTCAGATACCAGCAGGCAGAGACCCCTGTGACTAACAGCTGTCATGTGCTACTCAAGACCCACATGGGACAGCGACCTCCAGATTGGGTAGCCAAGATGATGCTGGGGGATCACACAAGTCTGCCAGAAAGGGATAAAAGGCAGTGAAGCATGACCCTCAGTGGTGCCCTCTCACCCAGCACCTGACCTACCGAGACAGAAGGACAAGCAGGAATTCCCCTTCTGTAGAATACATCGCCTTGAAGGAAGCTGACCATCAACAGCAGACTCCAGGGCCTCGGACAGGTAGATATACTGACACCAGTGCTCTCACAATGACAACAGCAGCTACTATACACTATACTACATGGGTTTGAATGAGTGAGTGCATGTGTGTGTATGTGTTAAGGTGACCACTACCACCCATAACTCAAAGACTGCATTTATGATTTTATTGGTAACTTCATATCCCGTCCAATAAACTAGAATTTATTATAATCCCGTGAGTTGGTCCTTTGCAGCCAATAATTGAATCTCCTCCAACACGCTGCATGAATTCCGGTGCATCAGACCTGACTCTGCACTTGTGTTTATGCACCCAGAGCCACTAAATTTAATGTGCATTAGAAAAGGTGCATCAATGCCCATGTAGCTTTGTCCAGCGAGTTTTAAAGCAAAGAGATCAACTAATATATTCTATCCCATTTGTTACTGCTCTGCTTTGAGTCACAGGAATCTTAGTACAAGTTTTATTTCATGTTAAAATAAACTTGTCAAATGCCATTCTTTATGAAATGACAGGCAAGACCAGATTCTGGCTCCAGATAAAGCCATTTTATAGATTTCATAGATATTCGGGCTGGAAGGGACCTCGAAAGATCATTGAGTCCAGCCCCCTGCCCCAGGGGCAGGAAGTCAGTATGGATCATAGGATCCCAGCAAGATAAACATCCAAATGTCTCTTGAAGGTGTTCAATGTAGGTGCTTGAACCACCTCTGGCGGCAGTCTATTTCAAACCTTGGTGGCTCGGACAGTAAAGAAGTTCTTTCTTATGTCCAGTCTGAAACAGTCATGGAAGAGTTTGTGACCATACGATCTTGTCATCCCTGTTTTAGCTGCTAGCGGGAAGGTTTGGGATTGAGAGAGTGGTAGGGGGTAAAAAGGTAAGAAAGGTTTATTGACTTAATAAACACACAACTACGCATAGAATAACAAGACAATAATGACAGACAATAACAATTTGTGTCAGCAACTTATTAGCAGTTCTTTTTGATGCCTGATGTATGACAAGTTCTTCTTTTATAAAGCTTAGTGAAGTCAGGCATAACTTTGATCTACGCTGTTTGAGGCGTACCCGGAAGGACTCTGGTATTTAGTTGTTGAGTTCTTTGAGATGTATGGACCTACTGAATTTAGGTTAGCAGCTAATTTTTAAATTAGTAGCTTCTCTTATAATGCTGCATCTTTTTTTTGATAATTTCTGGATGTGCTAGCTAATTTATAACTTCTGAGCTATGCTGTGGACTCACAGCTATTCATATTTTTATACTATGAAATTTCTTTATGACTGACTAATAGCAGTCTTTGCATTTTTCTGATCAGGTTAATTTTAACTGCGTCACTACATATAAGGCTTTACTACTTTTAAGGCCTTACTAATTTTACAAGGCCTCACTACATACAACGCCTCACTAATCTTTAATTTTAATTGAATTTTTAGTGGCAACATGCAGCTTCATACATAAACAAACAAGAAACACCTGGTTTAATCCTCACAGAACGTTCAGCAAGCACCTTCCCTATACAGATAAAATTTTTAGCTGTCACAATCCCTTGGGTCACTCTGGTAAACAGACGTTCCCCCAGATCATGGTGAGCACTCCTGATGAACTTATAGGTAGCCACCAGATCGCCCCTGAGCCTGCGCTTTTCCAGGCTGA